GAATGAAGGCCACCCCAAGTCTTCGCCATCTCTCACGGTCCTTCAATGTAACGCTCCATTTAGCATCTGCACACGAGTCAATTTCATCGTTCCATCTCCTTGGCGGGTGTACTCTTGTTCGTATATCGTCCTTTGACCACTGCGTTGTTAAGTCTCGACCATCGGCCACCACCATCATCATCATCACCACACTGATTTATCCGCCCAGCACTATCGAGGCTTAAAACGGCACAGCTTCCTAGATCGAGCGCATTCCGGGAGATGTGCATGCGAACCTTTGCCTGGTCTGTTTGGAGTCTCCTGGGAGGACGCGATGAGAATGCGCGAGGAAAATGCAATAGAGAGACGGATGCGTGCCAAGGTGACAATGGACGTGGGAGGGGGGAGGCGTGAGGGTCGTTGAATGGGCGCGGCGTGGCGCGCCTGTGCTGTGCTCTGTTGTCGCTACCCCGCCACCACGTGCGCCCAGCCCTGTGCTGCCCGAACATGTGCACAGGCTGCAGTCAAAACCTGCAATGGATTTCGCAGGATCAACGGAACCGGATTCGAACTTTCACAGGGCTTTTCAAGAGATATGAAGTTTTCTTGACTGCAAGGATCCATACTCTTTGGTTCTTTCGGTAAAGTCACGTAGGTATAAAATAAAATAAATAAAATCACGACGTTTCGGGCGCAACACAAGCGTCCGTGGGTACCCACTTCGGCAGTTGTTTCTTGCTGTGGTTGTTCCACCTGATGACGGACGCTTGTGTTGTGCCCGAAACGTCGTGATGTAATTTATTTTATTTTATACCTACGTGACTTTACCGAAAGAACCAAAGAGTATTTCAGAAGATGTGTCAAAACTGCGTTAACACGACTATGTTATCCATAATACAGGTTTTTTTGGGTGAGATCGCGTATCTAACCCAAATAACTCTGTATTTTGGATATTTATCGGGAAAACCTACTTGTTAAACTGACGACTGTTAGAGATTAGATCCAGGATGTTCGACATCGATACGGAGTTTGCAAGCTTCTAGAAATTGTTGAATTTAAACGATGGTCTGGAAGGCCATCAGCTTGATGGAGTGACACAAACGTTGCTTTCTGTCGATCATTAATGGAATTGGCCAAGTATCTCAATGTAACATCTCATTGTAATAGGATCAGAAATCGAGGTCACAGACAGTACTGTTTTTACCCAGACTTAGAATGGGGTCTTCTCATCAGCCACTGCAATTTCAGCCCGGGTCAAACTTATAGGTCACAGACAGTAGGCATGGCTTAATTTCGGAATATTTCCTCTGTCACCGGTAGACTGGTATACAGTGAGGGAAAAAAGTATTTGATCCCCTGCTGATTTTGTACGTTTGCCCACTGACAAAGAAATGATCAGTCTATAATTTTAATGGTAGGTTTATTTAAACAGTGAGAGAGAATAACAACAAAATCCAGAAAAACGCATGTCAAAAATGTTAGAAATTGATTTGCATTTTAATGAGGGAAATAAGTATTTGACCCCCTCTCAATCAGAAAGATTTCTAGCTCCCAGGCGTCTTTTATACAGGTGTAGACGAGTAGTGGAGGACGTCATATCACTCAGGGGGTGAGAATGGATGACGTCAGAGGTTACGAGGGATATAAGGGGGAACCCGTGACGTAGAGGGGGTCGTCGCGAAGGGCCAGGAACAGAGAGAGTTAGGGAGTCGGGATCCAGGGTAGGGAGAACCCGCGCCGAGCTAGAGTGATACTTTACCCGGCCGACCGAGTTGGATGATCCCTCCGTCGGTGCTGGGGGAAGATCATGTATAGCCTGGGTGGAGCTAGGGACCTCCCAGTACCCTTTCCCCTGGGAAGATATTAGGGTTGTCAACTGTTAGGCATAAGTCTTTAATAAGTTACTGGCAGTAGCCCTTAATAAACCTTGGCATCCGCCTCTACTCAAGAACCGTGTCTGCGTCGTCAGTTGCACCTCAACACAGGTAACGAGCTGAGATTAGGAGCACACTCTTAAAGGGAGTGCTCCTAATCTCAGCTTGTTACCTGTATAAAAGACACCTGTCCACAGAAGCAATCAATAAATCAGATTCCAAACTCTCCACCATGGCCAAGAACAAAGAGCTCTCCAAGGATGTCAGGGACAAGACTGTAGACCTACACAAGGCTGGAATGGGCTACAAGACCATTGCCAAGCAGCTTGGTGAAAAGGTGACAACAGTTGGTGCGATTATTCGCAAATGGAAGAAACACAAAAGAACTATCAATCTCCCTCGGCCTGGGGCTCCATGCAAGATCTCACCTCGTGGAGTTGCAATGATCATGAGAACGCTGAGGAATCAGCCCAGGACTACACGGGAGGATCTTGTCAATGATCTCAATGCAGCTGGGACCATAGTCACCAAGAAAACAATTGGTAACACACTACGCCGTGAAGGACTGAAATCCTGCAGCGCCCGCAAGGTCCCCCTGCTAAAGAAAGCACATATACATGCCTGTCTAAAGTTTGCCAATGAACATCTGAATGATTCAGGGGACAACTGGGTGAAAGTGTTGTGGTCAGATGAGACCAAAATGGAGCTCTTTGGCATAAACTCAACTCGCCATGTTTGGAGGAGGAGGAATGCTGCCGATGACCCCAAGAACACCATCCCCACCGTCAAACATGGAGGTGGAAACATTATGCTTTGGGGGTGTTTTTCTAAGGGGACAGGACAACTTCACCGCATCAAAGGGACGATGGACGGGGCCATGTACCGTCAAATCTTGGGTGAGAACCTCCTTCCCTCAGCCAGGGCATTGAAAATGGGTCGTGGATGGGTATTCCAGCATGCAAATGACCCAAAACACACGGCCAAGTCAGCAAAGGAGTGGCTCAAGAAAAAGCACATTAAGGTCCTGGAGTGGCCTAGCCAGTCTCCAGACCTTAATCCCATAGAAAATCTGTGGAAGGAGCTGAAGGTTCGAGTTGCCAAACGTCAGCCTCGAAACCTTAATGACTTGGAGAAGATCTGCAAAGAGTGGGACAAAATCCCTCCTGAGATGTGTGCAAACCTGGTGGCCAACTACAAGAAACGTCTGACCTCTGTGATTGCCAACAAGGGTTTTACCACCAAGTACTAAGTCATGTTTTGCAGAGGGGTCAAATACTTATTTCCCTCATTAAAATGCAAATCAATTTATAACATTTTTGACATGCGTTTTTTCTGGATTTTGTTGTTATTCTGTCTCACTGTTCAAATAAACCTACCATTAAAATTATAGACTGATCATTTCTTTGTCAGTGGGCAAACGTACAAAATCAGCAGGGGATCAAATACTTTTTCCCTCACTGTAGGTGGTAGGTTGACTAAGTAGCCACAGCCATATCAACAGGTGTACTGGATGTGGTTTTCTGGATGCAGTAATATTCCCGGGTCACCGACATGTTCAGACCTGGCGAAATATTAACCCTGATCCGAAGTTTACAATGGGGTCTCAGTCGTCAGCCACCGCTACTCCAACCTGCTTCAGAATTCAAGGTCACAGACAGAACTGTTCCACCCAGCCTGGGTAAGAATAGAGGTGTCAGCCCTTAGGCTTACCTGTCAATTCCATTTACCAAACGTGGTGGCATGAATACGCATACGTATGCCCAATGATCCTCCCAAATGCAACATTCTGGGGTTTAAAATAAAAATCCATTTAGCACTGTTTTTATATTTATAAATTCAGTTCATTGCTGCAATAGAGTGACCTCTTTGTTTCAGTCCTGTTTCAGTTCCATGGCCCGTGACCCACCATTGTCCAACCTTCCCACGTTTACCAATCTTCTCCATTCAAAATAGAGATGGCTCTGTTACACGCTGCAAGCGCCCGAGGATTGGTAAACACATCCTTAGTGATAATAATACTGTAATGAAATGTGTAACGCGCACGATATTTCACAAATAGCAAACGCTCTAACGTGCGTAGTCAAGCTCGCTATTTAATATGCATGTCAATTAATGTGTGTGTGCACGTAAGTGGTCTACATGTGATGTGGACAGCGATAATTGCAATGAATCAGAGCTCTCCTCAGGTCCCACAGGACCTATTTACCAATCATCAGGCATATGCAGCGTGTAATGACTTACCTTGTATATCAACAGACTTATAAAATGGAAAAGGTGGACTGGAGTTTGGGAAGCCCTGCAATAAACGATGTATCATTAAAAAAAAAATCACTGAAGAATTAATTATTTCCATTATCTGCTGCCATGATCAATATACTACTGGATGAAGGTCTCCCCAAGCAGATTCTGAAAAAGACTATGCATTTCAAATACCATGGCATCCATCACTCGAGTGGTTCCAATGATGCAGTGGAAACTGATGCAGCCATCTCGACTTGCACACCAAGGACAACATAAAACAAAAATCTCTAGAAATTGTCTCTACCAAAACGACATATGAAAAGTGGAGTCAGACCAGGTGACACGTCTTCTACAAATATTGTAGATAAGGAGACAATACACCGCTTTCATATATCTCTTGCCACGTAAGCAAAAAAAATACATATGAGCGTCATCAGGTGGACAGTCGGAGGATTTTTCCACAAATCTGGCTGTCTGCCTGATGATGCTAGTTGTAATTACTGGCGAAATGTCGTACTCAGATTGCAAATGTTGTGGATTTGCTCTCCAAAACACCGGTGTGCTGTACTAGTAACGAATTGGCCACGTTCTGTTTACGTGACAAAACCTTACTAATTGGCTGTGTCGGGTGGTGGTGGGTTTAACGACACATTTAAATATTTACGTGATCTCACTCAAACAAACCCCCCCCCCCCCCCCCCTTATATTATGCTAAATGCTAGACGACTAAAAAAGTATTGCAATTCTATTTCTGATGAACAGCGACCACGGACTCCAACATCCACATCCAGTCCGCGGTTGCACGGACAATCCGCTCCGGGTCTCGCCAAAGCGCTCCGCCCCCCCCCCCACACGCTCCGCCCCCCACACGCCCCGCCCCCCACACGCCCCCCGCCCCGCCGCCGCTCTGCAGAAGCCGAACACGAAAATAAATAAATAAACAACCCGCACGCGACGGGGCCAAGCAGCACACCGCCGGCAACGAGCAAAGCAGCAGCAGCAACAACAACAACAACAAATAACAATAACAAAGAGCAGAGACGAGACAACAACAGCAGCAGCAGCAGAATACTAAGCACCACTCCCCCCGGGCGCTTCCATCCCACCACCACCACCATCGCAGGCGATGGCGGCGGCGACGAAGCTGAGCGAGACGCGGGCGGACCCCGGCGCGGCCTTGACGATGACCGTGTACTCTGCTCCGGACACGCCGGCCTCAAGCTCAGCCTCCTCGACCTCCTCCACCTTAACCTCCTCAAACTCGACCGCCACGTCAACCGCCTCCTCCTCCTCCTCGTCCTCCTCGTCAACATCGTCAACCACGTCCCCGCCCGCCCTCGCCCGCCTGGAAGCCCGCGACCTGGCGTACGTGGTCCGCCAGCGGCGGGTGACGGTGGGTCGCAACTCGAGCCAGGGCGACGTGGACGTGGACATGGGCCACTCCACCTTCATCTCGCGGCGCCACCTCGAGCTGCTGCTGGAGGGGCCCGCGTGCCTGCTCCGCTGCCTCGGCAAGAACGGCGTCTTCGTGGACGGGGTGTTCCAGCGACGCGGGGCGACGCCGATGCAGCTGCCGCGCACGTAAGGGCGGGCGGGCGGGCGGTGGCGGTGACCCCGGGGGAGTGTGGGGAGGTAAAGGTGAGGTTATGTGAGGTGAGGTTATGTGAGGTGAGGTTCAGAACTTAGTTGGCCGAGGTGAGTTGGAGACTCGGCTTGAGACTGGTGGTGGCGAGAGGGTGAGGTGTAGGCGGGGATTTGGGGGGTGAGTTGGTTGAAGGGTGAGGTGTAGACTGGGATTTGGGGGGTGGTGAGTTGGTTGAAGGGTGATGTGTAGACTGGGATTGGGGGTGAGTTGGTTGAAGGGTGAGGTGTAGACTGGGATTGGGGGGCGAGTTTGTTGAAGGGTGAGGTGTAGACTGGGATTGGGGGGCGAGTTTGTTGAAGGGTGAGGTGTAGACTGGGATTTGGGGGTGAGTTGGTTGAAGGGTGAGGTGTAGACTGGGATTGGGGGGTGAGTTGGTTGAAGGGTGAGGTGTAGACTGGGATTTGGGGGGTGGTGAGTTGGTTGAAGGGTGATGTGTAGACTGGGATTGGGGGTGAGTTGGTTGAAGGGTGAGGTGTAGACTGGGATTGGGGGGCGAGTTTGTTGAAGGGTGAGGTGTAGACTGGGATTGGGGGGCGAGTTTGTTGAAGGGTGAGGTGTAGACTGGGATTTGGGGGTGAGTTGGTTGAAGGGTGAGGTGTAGACTGGGATTGGGGGGTGAGTTGGTTGAAGGGTGAGGTGTAGACTGGGATTGGGGGGTGAGTTGGTTGAAGGGTGAGGTGTAGACTGGGATTGAGGGGTGAGTTGATTGAAGGGTGAGGTGTAGACTGGGGATTTGGGGGGTGAGTTGGTTGAAGGGTGAGGTGTAGACTGGGATTGGGGGGTGAGTTTGTTGAAGAGTGAGGTGTAGACTGGGATTGGGGAGTGAGTTGGTTGAAGGGTGAGGTGTAGACTGGGATTGAGGGGTGAGTTGGTTGAAGGGTGAGGTGTAGACTGGGATTGGGGGGTAAGTTAGCTGAGGTGAGGTGTAGTGTAGGCTGGGATTATGACCGAGTTGCGGTGAGGTGGGGACTGGGTTGAGATGAGTAGCGCCGTGTTGATGAGGTGAGGTGTGGCAGGTAATTGGGACTGGGATGAATTTGGATTACAGTGAGGTGGCGACTGGAGCAGGGGTGAGGTGGTGAGTTGGTTGGGTCCCTGGGTGAGGTGGGGTTTGCATGGAATTGGGTTGGGGATTTAATGGAAATTTGGTTAAAGAGTAATGAAATAGGGTGGCGTGAGATGTGATGTAATGTGGACGTGATTCGATGGGTTGGCATAGAATGGAGTGGGAATAGGATTGGAGGGGATTATATTTGGGATGGATTTGGTTCGGATGTAGCTGGAACTGGTGGTGTTGGATAAGGATTGGAGTTGGGATGGGGTGCCATTGGATGAGATGAGATTGAATCGGGATGGGTTGAGATGAGGCAGTATTGAGGTCGAATGTGATGGGGATGGGTGGGCAGAAGTTGGATGAAATTAGATGGTACTGTGATGGAATAGAATTGGGATGTGTTGAGATGGGATGAGAGTGGAGTGGCATGGGATTGTATGGAGGGCAAATGAAACGTAATGGAATGGCATAAGATAGTAATGGCACGCGAGGCTGGGATGTGGGTGAGATGACAGCATGGCACTGAAATGGAGTGGCATGATACTGTGATGGGATTTGACCAGCCTTGGAATTTGATAGGACTGAAAGGAGATTAGATCGATGAGTTGACTGAAATGGGATCTGGACTAAGATTATACTGAAATGAGGTTGAATGGTATTTGGCTGGCACCAGATGGAATGAGATCGTATACGATATGATAAAGGTATTTATACGATAAAGGTGATTCTATACTACTGGTTAGTCTCTGCCGAGTCGCGGTCACGTCGCTTGGCCGGATTGAAGTACAGTAGTGTTTCGCTCTTCCTGTCTGCAGCCATCCACGCCTCTGCCTTTGCAGGAGTACCCTTCTCTGCCTTAGCTGAGCCGCATCCGTGCATTACTGCCGCTGTATCCTGGAAGTGCTTTTTAGCCGGGCTGCAATCGATGTCATTTTTCCATGAGCTATATTGTCATTATACATACAGATCAGCGTACACGTGTGTACAGTACATGCAAGTGTGTGCAGTACATGCACGTGTGTACTGTGCGTGCACGTATGTATTGTACACCCACGTGCTTACTGTACATGCACGTGCTTACTGTACATGCACGTGCGTACCGTACATGCACGTGTGTACTGTGCGCCGTGGACACGTGATGTGCGTGTACATGTGTACACGTGTACATGCACGGCACAAAGAAGCAAAACACACGTGTTTGTCATTTGGGCTCATTCCTCAACGTGAGAGGCAAGTGGCCTCGCCATGCACAATGTGCGCCGTGTGTGCGAGGTGGTGGACAGACCCCCTCCCACCCCCGGCTTCGGTTTCGCTGGCTGTAGAGAGTGGCACTACAGTAAGAACGAGGGCATTCTGCCCACAGTCGCCCCTTTTTTTTATATCCTATGACTACAGAACGGTGCTAGTGTTATTTGACTGGTAAGAACGGGAAGGGAAGTCCGCCTTGTGGGCAGGCCACGTCCTAGGTGGTGGTGGTGGGGGGGAAGACTACCGCGTTGGAGAGATGGCAAACCAAAGGGGGAACGGCATCGCCAAGAGGACGCGTCCGGCGTGCAGAAATTTTGTCGAGTTGTCGGAGCTAGATGGCTGACGATCGCTGATGATGATGATATCTCGTCAATATGTATATTATCAGTACTGCTTAAATTGAGAATGCAATCACCGTATCAGGCACTCTTTCACGTGTCAACTTGAACAATGGTATTCCATGATCTTACGATGTTTTTTTAAAAAATCAATTTACCCATTAATAATCGTAATAGCAATTCAAACACTTATGCTGCTTTAATTTTGGGTGTAATGATTCTTCGATTCGTTGATTAAACATTATTCTTATGGACATGATAGGTGCATCGAATGGTCACAAAAGTTATATTGATTATATTCGTGAACAGTGCCTTGTATGTAATGGGTTCTAATGACCCCTGCGTCCACTAGAAGCTGCTACATACACCACAGTTGCAACAAAAAATGAGCTTGAATTTAATTACGGAATAACCCAAATCGTAATAATTTAATCTCAAATGGGAAAATCATTAGAAGCCCTTCGTCAATCCTCTTCTGGAGGAAGGCTTCCCCCTGCTTTGTCAGTCATTGTGACTTTTTTATGACACGCTTTTATTTTACGCGCGTAAGAAATAAAATCTGTTGTATCCTCAACTCTGTTGTCCTATCCTCAAATCTTGTAACTTAATTTTAACCCACTTACCAATGTCGTATCGACTGCAAATTTGGTATACATATGTCATACTGATGACAATACTATATTCTATAATTGAAAATAAAAAATATATGTATTTTTAAGCATTTTTTTGGTTATATCTTATGTTTCGTCTTGGGTCTAAATTGTCCACGCTCAACTCACGCTGGCTGTAAACCACCACCGGTCCCTTACGTTACGGCAAGCCTCGGGGCCACTTCCTGGAGTCGTGGAGTTCTGCCATTACTAGTAGGATACATTTCATTAAAGCGTGTTTTAAAAAAAAAGTATTTTTTAATATTACTTTTTTGACCATACTTCACCATGTTCGTCAGTGTCAGTTGATCAAAGTGAGGGCCAGAACCAGATCAGATATCACGGCTACTGTTAGCCATGGCAGCGAGTCAAACTTAGGTCGCTAGGTGTGTAGTACAGTGCGCTTACAACCGTGCTGTTGCTCTACCCAGCCTAGGATTAAGGCTAATTAAATAGGTCAAGTCAAAAAGTCAGCTTGTCTCATTTGCAAATGCATGCTGGGTAGCGCTTCCCTTTGTAGGAAGTCCCAAACCAGTGGTGGAAATTCCACGTGCTCACAGCGGGAGACTATTCACTTCATAGACACTGCTTTTCATAAAGTAGTTCCTTACTCATTTACAGCCATGCCATCCTTGAGCCATTGGTGGAAATTCTAAATGTTTACGGTCGGGGGCCATGGCTAATAACACAACCTTTCCACATGAATGAACGTGTTTCCTTGCAGTGAGCGCGTGATACGGTGATGAGAGTTTATTCGAATGGTTTGTAACAATGAATTGGCAGTGTGTGGCGCATGAATGGCACGAATGATGTCATGCAATGATAGGAAGGTTGTTTAAAAAAATAATCTTTATTTGAATAGTTCTCGATAAAAAAAACCTTCAAATTATGCATTCAGCCACATTCCCCCCTTCTGTATGGTACACTCATACTTTTTAATTTTATTACATTTCAAAAAGTATACATTGCACGTAGCATGCAGATAGATACGTACATTCATGGCCATGCCTCGCACGAATTAAATGGATACTAAAATGAAACCTTATTTGACACATGCCTGCGTGAAATAGTTTGTGAAATGTGATTAAGCGTTACATGGTAGTCCAGTACCATTCTCACAGCGTTCCTTCAAGTGTGGTTATTACGGAAATTATAGCACAATTCTTCCTATGTCTGTACGAGAATGGTTCATGCAATTTTTTTTTATAACATATGGTTAGATGCGGCTGTGCTTAAAGACGTTTTTTTTTACAAATCCAAATCGTACAGCACGTACTCTACATGATGCCTTTATCTAATGCTGTACAATACTCTATTGAACTAGTAACACTAATATGGGAAGGTTAGTAAGCAGGTGCAGTTATGGTTCTATGCTTTAAAAATTTTGAGTCGTTGAGTATGACAGAATCCAGTGTGCAAGCGAAAGAAGACACCCATGCAGTTTACTTCCACAATTAATAAGTAATGTGTTCACTGTGGTTGGTGTGGGTGGCTTGTGTGGTGATGCTCTCCTGATGGTTGTGTCAGCCTTTCTGTCTGCGCAGAATGATTCACCTGCCCCCATAAATTCAATGGCGTGGTCGACATTCGATTTGAGAATCACTTTTGGAGTCACTTCTTGTAGGTCTCATTTATACCGTCTGCTT